TAGAACTGCACTCTTCTAGACAGCGACCTCAGATGTCCCACCTGGAATCTGTTGAAACCACTCTCCCAACTTGGGAGTCACAGCCCCGAGTGCTCCTATCACAACTGGGACTACTACTGCCTTCACTTTCCACATCCTTTCTAGTTCTTTCAGTCCTTGGTATTTCTCCACCTTCTTCCTGATGTTATAGTCACTGGGTTTTGTCACATCCACCATGACCGCAGTCTTATGTTCCTTGTCTACCAACACGATATCAGGTTGATTGGCCATTACTTGCTTGTTTGTCTGGATCTTGAAGTCCCACAGGATCTTAGCCCTGTCATCCTGTCATTCTCGACTACCCTTTGTTGTATCTCCCATCTGGACTTAGGCAGGTCCAATAAATATATAATATATATATATATATATATATATATATATATATATATATTTATATATATATATTTAGTTATACATTTCTGCCTTTTCCTGATCTTTATCTACAAACATACCAATTTCTAATTTCAATTAAACTACATTTTCATTATTATTATTATTATTATTATTATTTTTATTTTTTTAGAATTGTGATCTATATCAGTTTCTCATATTTTCTAGTTTTGCCCATCTAATCCACTTTTTATTGGTATTATTGGATTCTTTAGATCTGTTTCTTTTATATGTATTACCCAATGGTATACACATAGAAGCATACCTTTCTAACGTACTCAAGAATACATCATGGATGGCCATGTACAGAATTGTACAGACAAACACAGCTTTTATAAATATCCTGGTCTTGGATCTGGAAATTCTCTGTGCACATTTCTATAACACACAAAGTGAGGTAGAATTAGAGGGTCTCCTTAGCTTACTAACATTTAACATCACAAACAGCCCTCACACACATAATACAACAGGTAGCCTACATAAACACAAACAGTACCGAAAATAGCTTGCATGTACACTGAAGACAGTCCACCACACAAACAAACAGTACAATAAATGCACATTCACATGTTTAACACATAGACAGGCCACAAACATTCATAGCAGTGACAACCTGTGCACATATATACCCACAATACCACAAACAGTCACATACATGCACATAACACCACAAACATTCCCACATGCACAACTAACACATAAATAATACATACACCACACACATGCACAGTCAGATATACACATATATGCTTTAAAGGGACACTACAGTTATCTAAACAACTTTGGTTTAGTGAAGAAGTTTTCGTGTATAGATCATGCCTCTGAAGTTTCACTGCTCAATTCACAATTCCCTTTAAATATGTTGCTAACTGTAACTCTTAGTCAAAACCTGGCTGTGGCCTATGGCAGTTACAGAACAAGTACTTCACAATGGGGACTATTGCTATACTAAAACTATTGTGCACACACATAGAAAAAAGTCAACATTGCTGTGTTCTTGAACACATAGCAGCCATAAAAAGCATGTTCCATATGTGGATAAACGTCTAATATTCCCTGCAGTCATGTGATGTAATAACAAAGCATATATAGACTGGAGGGCATGGTTGCTATGGCACCTGAAGAAAATATTTTACTTCTGTAAAAAATTTACAAATATCTTATTTATTTTGCTAACAGCTATAACACTCTGTGAGTGTTTTTGGCTAGACTGAATATAATATATTATTAATTTAAAGGACCACTCTAGGCACCCAGACCACTTCAGCTTAATGAAGTGGTCTGGGTGCCAGGTCCAGCTAGGGTTAACCCATTTTTTCATAAAATGGGTTAAGCCTTCCCCCTAATCCTCTAGTGGCTGTCTCATTGACAGCCACTAGAGGCGCTTGCGTGCTTCTCACTGTGATTTTCACAGTGAGAGCACACCAGCGTCCATAGGAAAGCATTATGAATGCTTTCCTATGTGACTGGCTGAATGCGCGCGCAGCTTTTGCCGCGCGTGCGCATTCAGCCCAGGAGGAGGAACGGAGGAGGATCGGAGGAGGAGAGCTCCCCGCCCAGCACTGGAAAAAGGTAAGTTTTCCCCCTTCCAGAGCCGGGCGGGAGGGGGACCCTGAGGGTGGGTGCACCCTCAGGGCACTATAGTGCCAGGAAAACGAGTATGTTTTCCTGGCACTATAGTGGTCCTTTAAGTAGGCAATGGTATATGGTAGCTTCAATAAAAGCTGTAAAGCTGTTTGCTTTAAGAAACATATAATTAAAAGGTAAACAATGCATTTCAATTGTGTGCAATATAAAAGTGTTTATTATATAAGCACACAAGCTTTGTTTATGTTGTTGCATTATTTAATAAATAACAAATATAATATAAATAGTAGGTCTCAACATCTCAAGTCCTACACTACTAACCAGGCATAAAAGTTACTCTCCACTACCTGTGCTGAATATTTATTTGTCAATGGCTAGTAGGAAATTTTTTTATTTCTGGCGGCAAATTTCAATTTAGTTTTAGTCATAGTCTTTGGACTAAAAAGCCATTTTAGTTTTAGTCATATTTTAGTCATCTTAATTTTGTCGACTAATAATCCAAGTCAAATTTTAGTCGACTAAAACAATTAACACTGGTAGGAAAGTGTAAATTTTGAGCCCTGTAACGAGCATATTAACCCCTTAAGGACACATGACATGTGTGACATGTCATGATTCCCTTTTATTCCAGAAGTTTTGGTCCTTAAGGGGTTAAAGGGTCTTTGCTTTGTTTCTTCTGAGTTTCCCACGTTTTAGCTTCGTACATGCTAGGCAAATTTCAGGCCACCATGAAAAGATCCCTTAATTTGAGTTAAATTCTATCCTCGAAGGCAGTAATCTACCAAAGCTTTAAGATTTGTGTTATTAACATGTAATCAGGTGATTAACAATGTATATAATTGAATAATGTGCTACATATTATGTAGAAAACCTAGTTTGACGATTGGGTTTGATGCCACTGCCCTAGTTCCTTCAAGTCTTTAAAAATTAAAACCTTAATTGAATGGAAGATATATCATTAGAAAACCTCTGACAACAACATTTTCATGAGCGAGACAGGAATGTGATTAGTAAAAAGGCAAACGTGGCTCAGAAACCTGACATTCCAGTTTTCTAGAATTATAAAGTTTAAATTTTGTACTTTTCTACGACACGCTACATACTTATTACCAAATGTTTTTAAAGTATTTTGCATGCATGAGCAGATTTAGAAATGTTTTCTTTATAATGTCACTTTTTATGTGATACAAAGTTTTTTACCAATTTTTTTTTTTCTTTTCTGTTTTTTTTTTCTTGAAAGAAAATCTTACGAGGACAAGGAACATTTGACAGTGAAGGTATGTCCTAAAACAAATAGAAATTCAATAAATATTTTACTGACACTATCCATGCTTTTCCTTTGTTATGTCTAACACATAATCGCTTGCAACTGATTACCGTATATATTCTTATATCCATGCTTAATTTATATATGCTGTCATACGTAATATATTTCTGATTGAAGAAAGTCCATAACATGAAATTACACTAGTTTGTTGACTCTCTGGAAAATAACCATGTTATGATACATTGACTTTTTGAATTTTTGTTTTGCGCTATTTAGTGAATAAACCCTTGGGTTTCCATTTGAATGTCTACTTTTTAGTGATAAGTAATCTGACCATTTAAAGGGACACTTTAATCAACATAAACACTACATCTGAGTGTCGTGGTTATGTTGCCAAGATTATGTGAATGCCAGTCCCTAGTTTTTGTCAAACCATTTTGGAGTAGTTTGAGAGGGAAAAAAAAGGTTCTCACGGAAACTGCTCCTATTCCACAAGGATCATACCAGTGCTGTTGTGATGTTAGAAGTACCAAACTGTTTCTCAATGGTTTTCTTCTTACATGGATTCTACCAGGCACTGGATCTCTCCTGAAGCAGGCTGAACGTGATCCAGCTTCTGCAAAGCTGAAGAAGCCGGAAGTTGATCTTGACGCTCATTTATTGGCTACACAGAATATGTACACAATTTAAATTAGCCGTCCTGAGACTCTTGTCCCAAGTTGGCTAATAATGACTCTAACAGAATTGGTTACACCAAAATATTGCTGGTACATTCAGGTTCCTTGCATCAAGACCACTTCAAAACACTGAAGTGGTCATGGTGCTTTGACTAACCCTTTAATGATTGTTGCCACAAATATTTTAAGAGATGGGGGTTTCTAAAATTAATTTGTGGAGGGACTTGTGCTGTGTCATTTATAGCCACATTCATGTTTGGCAGTCTGTGTTTAGGGCTCTTTGATGGAGATAACGTTGCTAAGTGCATTTTGAAAGCTTATATGCACAGATTATAGTACTGTCCGTAACTGTAGGCATTGAAAAGAATACTTGAGAGGTTGCTACAACATTTGCAAAACACACAAAAATCTCTGTATTTGAATGTTGGCTTGTCATTGGATGCCTGCCTATAGTGTAAAGTCCAACCTTGTGCTGATTGTTACCATTATTTAGGCTAGGGAAGCTGTATTGTCCTTAAAGAGGTATGCAGAGTGACTGTATTTTGTTAGTATAGTGTAGGTCACGGGTTCCCAATAATTTTTTCCCATGGAACCCTTTGTAATAGTGTATCAACAATGTGGGAGGGTGGTGGGGAGGGGGGAGATTTGTGCCTTTGCATAAACCTTTTTTTTTTTTTTGTATGTGCCGGTGTCTTTATCTGTGTGTATGTGTATGTATCTGACACACAGATATATACACACACACACACAGGCACATAGTGGCACACAGACTCACACACCTTGACACACGGTGTGTATGTGTGTATCTGTGTTTGTATGTGCCGGTGTGTGTATGTGTGCCAGTGTGTATAAATCTGACACACAGATACACACACTGGCACATAGATACACACACCTTGACACACCGTGTGTGTATGTATCTGTATGTCTAAATTTGTGTGTCTGTGTATCAAGGTGTGTATCTGTGTTTGTCACATAGTGGCACACAGATACACACACATACACACACTGGCACACAGATACACACACTTTGACACACACTGTTTATCTGTGTGTATGTATGTATCTGTGTGTATATCTGTGTATCAAGGTGTGTGACACACAGATACACACACACACACACACACACACACACACACGTACACACACTCAGATACAGACAGATACACTGAAAGATACGCACATAGGCACTCACACACACAGTGCCACTCAGCTACACACACTGGCACATACACTCAGATACACACTGACACAGGTAAACACAGTGACACATACACACAGATAACAATGGCACATACCTGCACAGGTACAAACACTCATATACAAACACTCATATACAAACACTCATATACAAACACTCATATACAAACACTCATATACAAACACTCATATACACACACTCATATACACACACTCATATACACACACTCATATACAAACACTCAGATATACACAGCGACACAAAGATTTCACAGAGATAAATACACATGCCATGCCATTTTTTAGTTTTGCAGTCACCCTCCTGTTATTATACCTGTTGTCTGCAGGAGGGTGACTTGCTGGCTGAGGCTGGTGTGTGGGGGAGATGCTCACTGCCAGCTGCTGCCTCTCTCCCTCCAGCGCAGCGTTTTCTATATGAAGTTGAGAGGAAATGACCGTCTGTCTGTCACTTCCTCCCAGCATCCCATACTACGTGGACCCAGTCGAGCAATTAATCGGCCATGCCGCTGACCGGGTCCTTTTGCAGCAATGGCCCTTAGGGCCACCCGATGGGCAAATCACCGCGGATCCCCAATTTTGTTCTAGGGTTCCGCCGAACACCATTTGTGAAACGCTGGTCTAGGTAACATATTCCAGTTTGACCAAACATTACAACAGGACTTGAATTATATGTGCGTGTTTTACAAATGATAAATTATGTTGTCTGATTATAGTTATGAAATCTTTTCATGTGTTTCTTATCTGTCTAGCACTGACATAGATAAGTTGTTCTCTCAGATGTCACAATGGCTTTTTTATAATGGAGAGTAGTGATGTCCCGAATGGTTCGCCGAACGGTTCGCCACAGACTCATCATTGAGTAAACTTTGACCCTATACCTCACAGTCAGCAGACACATTCCAGCCAATCAGCAGCAGACCCTCCCTCCCAGATCCTCCCACCTCCTGGACAGCTCACTAAGAATGCAGCTTCACAATGAATGTAAAACAGATGCTGTCCAGGAGGTGGGAGGGTCTGGGAGGGAGGGTCTGCTGCTGATTGGCTGGAATGTGTCTGCTGACTGAGGTACAGGGTCAAAGTTTACTCAATGATGAGTCCGCGGCGAACCGTTCGGCGAACCATTCGGGACATCACTAATGGAGAGGTGTCCAATTCCATAAACACAAGCATTAATCACCGTGGAACATTAGGGTGATATACAATACAATGCTTATTGTCTGTCCATTTGGTAAGGTCTAAGGAAAGCACCTGATCCTCCTCTACCTGCAGGCCAATCCTTGCCTTTACTCTTTGCTTTATTCTTAGTTTTCTCTTTCATGGCAGGGCTTACGTTCTTCCCTTTTTTGCTGTCCTAAGCAGCACTCGGTAGACAGCAGGTTTCCATAGTAATCATGCTTGTGTCACCCCTGTTCAGTCTCTCCATTCACGTTATGAGAGTTTGGTTCCCTAATAGGTTCATAAACCTCCTCTCCAAAGTTCAGCAGTTGGACCTGCACCTTTATGGGTGGCCTGGTTCTGAATCCAAGGTTTGTGCAAAGTTACTCATACTTTATCTTACCGCTTACAGGTAGCTTACATCTAGAACTATGGTTTCTGACTTGGATTTGGTACAGTCTTGTGACCTTAAAGCCATTTTCGTTTTAGTCGTATTTTAGTCATCTGAATGGTTTTCGTTTTTAGTCGACAAAATCTCAAACATTTTAGTCGACTAAAAACTGACTAAAATAGTCGACAAAATTAACACTAATTTGGTAGATGCTGAACAAAACCCCCCCCAAAAAAAATAAGAAACAGAAATGTAGAGCAACAGTTTAATCTTTTGGTCTCAGTGCTAATGATTCTCTATGCTCCATTACCAATGGCCATGCCCAATGGTCATTAATGAACGGGACACTGTAGGCACCCAGACCACTTCAGCTCATTGAAGTGGTCTGGGTGCCAACTCCCATCACCCTTAACCCTGCAAGTGTAATTATTGCAGTTTTTAAAAACTGCAATTATTACCTTGCAGGGTTAAGTCCTCCTCTAGTGGCTGTCTACTAGACAGCCACTAGAGGTACTTCCGGCTTCTTAGACGACTTTTGGTCATCTAAACAACGCTGGACGTCCTCAGGAAAGCATTGAATAATGCTTTCCTATGGGGAGGTGTAATGTGCGCAGCCATTGCCGCTCATGCGCATTAGGTCTCCCCCGCTGGTGGATGTTGGCAGGGGGCGAGCATGGACAGAGCCTGACCCAGCGCCGAGAGACCTCAGCGCAGGATTCAGATAAGTGTCTAAAGGGGTTTTATCCCCTTCAGCAACATGAGGAGGGAGGGGGATGGGGGGCACTCCTGGATCCTCTAGTGCCAGGAAAACAGGTTTGTTTTCCTGGCACTGGAGAATCCCTTTAATGTTTTAATTATTAACTGTATAACAGTTTGGCAATATTGTTATAAAGATGTATGGGAGCATATATCTACATGGTTGCTTGATAGCACAAATGGATTGCTGCGTGCCTTTGGTACTCTCTGCTCTATGCCAGTTAATCCACCAGTGACACGGTTTGAAACACTGTTTTGCTGTGTGTAGATATATTGTTAATTGTTTTGCTGTGTTTGCAGAAAATGCTGTACTGTACCAAAATTACAAGGAAAAGGCTCTGGAAATTGATTCTGATGAGGATGCAGATTCCAAAGAACATAAAGAAGACCGGATAATCATAGAATATAAACCCTTAAGGTCAACGTGGAGTCAGCTTTCAGTGGTAAATAACTTGCTGTCCAATATCTGTGATATACTGCACTAATAAGGCATTTTAATTTTAACAAAATAATGGTTTACTGTTTGTAAATGCTTGTACGGGATAGCATGTTGAATCTGCTTGTAAAACTGGAAAGACAAGAATAGTTTGATATAGAGACTGGCACACTGATCTAAAGATAAAAATGCAGAGATGGGCACATTCTCTCATTAGAGTTGGGTAATCTCACGGAACATATTGTTTCATTTGGGGAGAAATGGAGACTGACACATTGATATAAGATAATAAAAATGCAGAAATAAACAAGTTGTTTCATTAAATTTAGATAATTCATAAAATGTACTGGCATGTTATTTTTGCTCACTTGCAATGCAGTAAATTAAAGTAAAACTTGCTAACTCCTTTCCAAAATAAAATGTAGATTAGATCCCCCATGTTTTACGCTTTGCTCCAGTGCCGATCTTTCCCTGGCAGAGATACAAATTTATCTTCCAGTGCTCTGCAGGAAAAACTGTAAAAGCCTGACTTTTTCTTGTAAACTCCTGTTGTTAAAATGGATTGCTCTTAGCATGCTGCAGGAAACACTCGCAGGCTGCAATAGCTTTATTTTACTGATGCCTGGTTTTAACAAGGCAATATACTGTGTTTACAGCATGTAAACATTATCCTATTTACGTTCTGGTGGCATTTGGAGATGCTACATTTTTGAAAATGACAGCGTTTATAACGACCAGCAGTAACATTTTACTTTTTTATGGCAAAAATTTACATTTTTGATTAGAAACTAATAATTGAGACTTTGCAAAATAACGGAACCCTTATATTCTCTACATTTATTTTTGTAAGTAAATGTTGTACATATAAGTGGAAAATTACAATTGTGTAAATTTACATAGTTTAGCATTTGTTTTAGATATCCATGAAGAGAAAACTGTACACAAAATTGCTATTCATCCCAAGTTTGTGTGTTTTAAATAAATGGTATTTTTTATTGCAAATAGTACTGTAGTGAAGAAGTAAACTCTGTACGAGCATTGACTCCTATGACCGCAGTTCCAAGTAATCATGTTTGATCTCATCTCACATGTTACACTACCTTTGTTTAAGCAGAACTGTCACTACATCATTGTGTTTTTATTTTTCTAAAATTCTTGGTAGTTTGTACTGTTAAATTTACATGGTATGCCTGAGTGTCTGGTTATATAAAGGGCATACAATGAAACATAAATAATACTCTGCAGTGCTGTGCCAAGCGTGTGTACACTGCTTTTTATTTTATTTTTAGTGCCTAGGCATGTATAATGTCAGCTGACACTCTTAGCAAATGAATAATGCCCCAAGTTGCACAAAATTGAATTTGCTAATGTTGAAGTATCAACTTAACATATTGGTACCCACTGGAAGGAACTGGGTACTTGAAGGCAGGTAACTGCCAAATTGTTGAAACAGCTCACTGTGTTGATGGTGCCTGCTTCGTCATTGCGTCGTACCTACTACTGTGTGTTGTAGTAGTTATGGTGGTGGTTTTTAATATAGGATTTGTTTTTTCTGCTATCTAATCACTGAAATAATTTTTAGTTTCTTGAAAGTAAATTTGTCAAAGTTTTAATTGTTTTATATAAGGAAGAAAGTACCAGAGCGTGATTTTATATGAATTTGAAACTGAATGAAAACCAAATAAACCAGCAAAGGACACTTGTTTTAAACTGTTCCACTCTGTATCAGTTATATATTTGTGTAATTCTGACACAAAGTTGTTAAAGAGAAGTACATACCCAAGGTGGTTGCTCCATGTTTTAGAATTGTGCCCTAGAATGTCTCTGTATCAATAGCCCTCAATATTTCCTCAGTTTGCAACCGTTGATTAGGTGATGTAAGCAGGGAGTTACTGACTCCGTTTTAATAGTGTGCTTTTAAATTTTAGTCCTAAATTAGCCAAACTGAACGCATTACTGACTTGGAGTTTGTTTTTTAATGAAACTATTTTGGCCTAAATTTTTTAATTCACTGTGAATTGCCGGCACAAAAATGTACACTCCAGTGATTAACCCTGTAGGTGGCTTTTAATAGCAGTCCCTTGTGGAGTCCATGTGTCAAGGCATGGACTCCACAAGGTCTCTGAATGTGTCCTGTGGTATCTGGCAGCAGATCCTTTAAGTCCTTCAAGTTGCGAG